CATGCATGCATGCATGTGTATACACATACATATGAATCAGCATATACACGTACACATACAGATACATACACGTATACATGTGCATATACGTGCACATCTGCATGTACATTTGCATGTACATGCACATATACATATATATATATATAGAAAACTATGTATAATATATTCGTGTGTATCAACAAAACAATTAGGTATAAGAATAAGATAAACAAGTTTCAACACTAAATAAAAACACAACTAATATTTACATATGTGAATGAGCGAATGTGTATGTGTTTATGCACAGTTCCTCACTGTGGTCTATACAAACCCATGCATTATTGTCAATGCAGGACTCCTGCCCCTCAAGGCGATCTCTCATCTTTGTGTGGACCAGAACCTATACCAAGCACTAATCACACTAAATGGACGATATCCAGTTGGAGCCACCTCCTCAGACATGTCGCTTTTTGGAATCAAAGCCGCGTACACATAAATCACTTCACCAGCCCCTATGCCACGCCTCCCCACTCAAGTTGCCAGTGAGAGCGAGCATCAAACAGTTGAGGATACCATTTCGCTGTAATGCCGTCTCAAAACCACGGTTCATAAACCAGCAGCCTCCTTGTCAGCAGAGGTCGACCCTAGAACCGCCGCCCTTGAACGATGTGTTCATCGACTTTCTGTAGCAGGATTGCACGCCAAGCGTCAAAGTACTGTCAAGTTGCCCAGTATTGCAGCGATGAGGGAGGATGTCATCGCGATGCACGAAACTCACGCAAGAGCTAAATCTCAGAAGATGCTGGATGTAGGTCCTGATCGAAGTTGTTTGGGGCGCACCTGTTGATGAAAAATCCCGGTGCGGAGTTGCCATTCTCGTTCGGAAGCCGCGTAAGGATTCTGCCGACATGGACGCGAACTTGAGCACCTGGAGCGCTTGCCGTGCCCAATCGACTTTGGAGCAGGACACTTTGTAGACACGTAGGGCACATAATTGAGGGCCTCCGGAAGGAGCTCCCAAGTCCTATCACGACGGTGGCCCGGGGCAGCACAAAGTACTTCTTGTGTACCTTGCGCTCAGCCATCACCTTCGGGAAAGCACGAACCTCTACTTAACCTCTCCGCGTCGAGCGGTGGAACGCTGGACACTGTGACCTTGTTTGTTAGCTACAGCAGCAAACAACGCGTCCTCTGCAACGTGGGCTCAAACCTTAAAAGCGGCGGTCAAATCTCCCGCCTGTATAAGAGGTATCTGGCACGAGAGGTGTTTGAAGAGGGTCCGTTGACGTGGGAGGGACAAGAGCGGGAAGTGACGTCACAGGCCGGATGGTGCGACGCACCTGACTGGGCTTGGGAAGCGACAAGGCAATGTGAACCGCCGAGTGCGTGGGGAAATTTGCCAGTTGTTGCACCTGAAAGATGCGCACCAAGTCAAGCGCGCATGGCGAGGCAAACACATGGTCAATGCAGGTGCCTGCACCCAGATGGCAGGTGAACCGCCCGGGCCATGAGCGGAGTAGCAGTGCTGCGAG